TGTTTACCAGATGTATTTCACATATATTTTATATGACAAGTAGACATAACTGAATAAGGAGTAGGTGCCCACGACAACAAATTGTTGTACTGTTTGCATTTCCGTTTATGTTTAGATGTGTTTTGCACTTCGATCAATGTCTCGGAAATAACGAGTGTTCCAAATATTCCGTTTTCCGAAGTTTGACTCAATTAATGAGTCAACCATTTTTAAATCTGCTAAGTTAGGATTACCATTAAGAATAGCTGAATAGATTGAGGAGATTTATTGTTGTTCATATTTTCCATTGCTAGTTGTTAAAGGGACATTTAGGAGATTTCCACTTGTCTACAAGGTTTTTTTTGACTTTTTGTCTTATTTAGAGTATTTAATTATTTAATTTTTATATAAATATATTGTAATACAAAATATTTTCTAAAAAGAACCAAAATAAAATTTAAATGGACCATAAAAAAATACACACACACATATATATATATATATATATATATATATATGAGCGATCAAATGAAAACCACTCCAATTTGTAAAAACCGTAAAAACTACTTTCATCCGTCGTAATCTTATGAAATTTTTTCATGAAATTGTTTAATCGTGTGAAATTGTTTCATATAATACTTTTTTTGATGAAATTGTTTCATATAATACTTTTTTTGATGAAGTTGTTTCATATATGGTTATGAAATTGTTTCATATACTACTTAATGAAATTTTAATGAAACTGTTTCATGTATTTCTTTAAAATTAAAATAATGAAGATGATAATATCCATGATTAACATCTTCCACAATGAAAATGATTAATCAACCTCTTATAATTACAAAAATATGAACAAAATGAAAAATTATGACCGGTGGACTGAGGTTTTTACGATTTTTACAAATTGAGTGGTTTTTATTTGATCGCTCCCATATATATATATATATATATATATATATATAATATGTGTGGGGGAGGCTAAATGAGAATCATAAAGATGTTATAAATTCGTGAAAATCGATTCAAAAGTAATGTTAACATGATTTATTTTCATTAAATAATAGGATTTTAAGATATTATTTTGACATATATTTGTTTTATTATATGATAGTTTCGTAAATATATGTGTTTCATCATGTGAATACTTTTTACATGTACTTTTCATTTTATTAAGTGAATTAAAAGAAGTTCTATATGTAATTTTTTCATAAAGTGAACATAAACATATGTGAAATGGTATCTTAAAGTCAAAAGTGCATGGAAGTCTCATGTTTGAATCCAATGAGGAATAAAAACTCCCTTGTGACCATGGAGATTTAAATGCGGTGACTTCGGGCTACCCGCGGAATGGATGACCGTTAAGGGATTAGTCGGCTCGTATAGCAGGTTAGATATTCAGTTTAATAAAATAAATGTTTATTTGAAAATCTACATTTTGACATGTTATTTTTTTAAATATGTCTACATAATAGATATTTTAGAAAGGGTAAAATGCACAAAATAACAACATATTCTTACAAAATTTCTTATTATAGTATTGTACTTTCAGTTTTTCTTATTATAACAATGTAATTTCAATATATTTTTTATTAGAGCATCGTACTTTCAAAAATTTATCTGTTATATCATTGGGTAATCTTTTAAATTAAATTTACTAATTATACTAGGTTTCTTTGTCATCTCATCGTCCATGTAGGCTGTTCATATGTACGATAATGTTGACATGACATTTCTTATTATAACATTGTATTTTCAAAAGTACTTTATTATAACATTGTATTTTCAAAAGTAATTTTGAAAGTACAATGCTATAATAAGAAATGTCATGTCAGCACTATCGTACATATGGACAGCCCACGTGGATAATGAGGTGGCAAAAAACCCTGATATAATGGGGAAATTTACTTTAAAAGGTTACACAATGCTATAATAGGTAATTTTTTTTAAAATACGATGCGCTAATAAAAAATATTTTGAAAGTACATTGCTGAAATAAGAAAAACTGAAAGTACAATACTATAATAAGAAATTTTGTAAAAGTAGGTTGTTATTTCGTGCATTTTGTTCTTTTAGGTAGTGATTGGTACACAGACCGCATAAAACAGAACAGGATGGGACGGGACATGACATGACTAATTGTCTGTTTTATGTTTGGTACGACTGAAATAGGACTAGACAAAACTGTTAAAATCGTCATATTACCCCTAAAGCTCAAGAATAGTCCCAACCAATCTTACTTTTGTAATGTTGTCCCATCTCATTTTGTCCCATGATACATCAAACATGGGACCCAGTCTCCATACCAAACGCACCCTTAGAAATTATAAATTAATCTATCAGTTCTAAAATAAATATGCACCCTAAAAATACATAATTTAGAAACATATAATTACTATATTTTTAATTAATCGGATGACATAATAATTTTATCCTTAATAATTATTACACTTTTAGATATTGCTTTGAAGCTGAGAAAACATTAAACAAACATATTTTTAATTACAAATTCCTAAACATGCATTTTTCAAAATGAAACCAACTTTCACCTAATTTCTATTTTGGGAAACCAACTTTCAAAATTGTCATTTTGGGGAACCAACTTTCACCTGATTCCTATTTTGGAGAACCAACTTTTATCTGATTCCTATTTTGGGGAACCAACTTTCAAAATCGTCATTTGGGGAACAAACTTGCACCTGATTCCTATTTTGGGGAACCAACTTTCAAAATAATTATAAAAAAATAACTAAAATTTATTTTTTTTTCAAAAATTAATGCAATAAAATCTATTTTTCATTTCAAATATCGTTTTTTTTAATTCAGATATCAAAATTGAAGATTTTTTTGAAAAAAAATTCAAATTACCACGATAAAAGTTGTTTTTTTTGTTAATGTAATAAAAAAATTAATTTAATAGAAAAAAATTAATTAATGCAATAAAAAATAAATATTAAATATCAATAAATATTAAATATCACATTCAAGATTTTTATATCTAACCAATCTGTGTTAATATTAAAGTTTAAATCAAATTTGACAAATCCAACCAAAACTTTGATAGAGACCCTTAAAATACCTGTTACATGTTCAACAGATCAACCAGACCATTAAATAAACAAAAGTTTGATAGAAACCATTAAATGACGATTTTAAAAGTTGGTTCCCCAAAATAGGAATCAGGTGAAAGTTGGTTCCATTTTGGTGTAATTTTCCCATTTTTCTATAATTATTTTGTAAGTTGGTTCCCCAAAATAAGAATCAAGTGCAAGTTGGTTCCCTAAAATGACGATTTTGAAAGTTGGTTCCCCAAAATAGGAATCARGTGAAAGTTGGTTCCCCAAAATAACGATTTTGAAAGTTGGTTCCCCAAAATAGGAATCAGGTGAAAGTTGATTCCATTTTGATGCAATTTTCCCTTTTAAAAAATATATTATCTACGATTATTTTTCGCACCAATAAATTAATTTATTTTTTAGCTTATTTAAAAGTCACCATGTGGATACATAAAAAGTAGCTTATTGGCTAGATTATTAAAACGTTATTTGAAATTGTGTTTCAATAAACTACAGGAGTTGTAGAACATGATTAAATATGCACATAAGGTAAATACATTGTGGACATTTAAAAAAAACATGACAAAATGTACAAAATAGCAACCTACTTTCATAAATTTCTTTATTATAGCATTGTACTTCCAGTTTTTCTTATTGCAACAATTTACTTTCAAACTATTTTTTATTAGGACATTGTATTTTGAAAAATTTACCCATTATAACATTGAGTAACATTTTGATTTAATTTTACCAATTATACCAGGTTTTCATGCCACCTCATTGTCCATGTAGGCTGTCCATATATACTATAGTGAAGTGACTTTGTTACTATATCATTGTACTTTCAAAATTATTTTATTATAGATCTACTACTTCTTCTTAAGCAATGTATTTTTAATTTCAATATTTAGATATTTTACATGTTATGTAATAAATATATTAAATGAATTAAAAAAATTCTAAATTATTTATTAGTATACCATTATCAATAAAACTAGTAGAACACAATCTATCTCGCTAATATTTTAAAAAAATATGTGTTTATTGAAAAAAAGAAAAAAAAGAATTGTTTTTTTTACCAAAAAATATTATCTTTTAAAGAATATATTATATTTGTTCAAAAACTTTTGATTGATGTATAAATATATTAAATTAATTAGATTTTTTTGACTTATTTATTAATATAACAATATTAAAAAATTGTAGATCACAATTTATATCGTTAACACTTTAAAGAGAACTTTAAAATATATGTATTTATTTGAACAATATAAAATAAGAAGTGTTACATTTTTTACAAACAAAATATATCTCGAAAGTAATATTTTATATTTATTTAAGAAATATTTTACTTTAGAATATTTAATTTGTATGCAACTTAATAAGAAAAAGTCAAAAAAATTAAACGTTTTTTTAGATCATAACAATGAAAAATGAAAATCATTAATATTAATTTGAAATAGGTTTTTATTTTTATCTTAGTTAAGTCATCAAAATGATGTGTCATCCACATCACCTTATTAAAGGCACACAAGCAAAAAAAGTCGAGGGGATAACCGGTTTAAAAAGTAACATGTTACCCATTGTTATTATGGGTAGATTTTTTTAAAGTTCGATGCCTTAATAAATAATAATTTGAAAGTACATTGCTTTAATAAAAAAACAAAAATAAAATGTTATAATAAGAAAAATTTATAAAAGTAAATTGCTATTTGATACATTTAATCCTAAAAAATATTATAATAATTTGTAAAAATATTATAAACACACCGTAAATCCATTGAGTTTTTTTAATTCTTTTTTCATATTTCGTATGGATCTTAATAATTATTTAAATAATTTAAAAGAAGATGGCTCCCTCCTTTCTGTAGAAGAAGGCATCAGCATACGTCAGCTAGAAGCCGTTTACTTTGATGATGACAAAATTTCATACTACAACTACTACTGTTCCTCCATCATCAAACACATATTCCCCAATCCAATCATTCATCTCTTTTTTTCCCTTCCGATTCCATTCCACTCCATTCCTCCCCCAATTCCATCTTCATGGAAATCGACGAAAACCCTAACTGGCTCTTCGATTATGGCTTGATGGAGGATATCTCCGCTGCTCACTTCACCGTTCCGCCACCACCACTACCGCCTCCCATTGTTTTTGATTGGCCTTCACCTGCTTCACTACCTGCTGTAAGGTTAGTCGTCTTTTCTATTTGTCTTCCACCTGTAAATAACTACTTGTAACCCTAATTAGGGTTAAATTAGATTCTATGCATTAAGGCAAAACTTTCTGTATATTGTTATCGTCTGAGGAGATTTTACTAAATTACTCATATGATTTCACTTGGAAAAGGGGAATTGAATCTCGTGATGGTTCTTCAATTGTCGTAATCTGGTCATTTGCTTGAGTAAAGTTTCTAACGCTGATAGGCGTATAGAAAATCACCATTTTTGGTTTCTGAAGTTAACATGATCAGGAAAACTGTGCGTGATTACTTTACGAAATTTTTATTTCGGGAAAATTTTGAAATAATATGAAATTTATGTGATGAACAGATGATTGCCTTTACCTAATCGTTTGTTTGCTAAATTCTAAGTAAGCTTTGACATTAGTTTTTGTTAATTAAATTGATAAATTACAGTTAGAATTAGTTGAATAGATCATTACCAATAAAGGAAAGGAAAGAACACAAAAGGTTGAGAAGTTTCCATAGGAGCACAAAAGGTTGAATAAATCCCCTGCACCTTTTTCGTGATCAACACCGTGGAAAACACAACAACGCGAAAAACATAGCACCACCATCTCTAAGACCATCACCACCATTGCCAACACCAGCACTTGTGATCACACACACACAAACAGTCCCCACAGTCTACATGTGGTGGATCTAATTACTACCAAGTCCCTCTTATCGGTCCATGATTTAGTGTGAGATACTAACCTTGTAAGCCAAGGGAGGAATTCTTACTTGGCTAGTGATTAGTTTTGACCCAGACTGCACTTTCTTACCCTTTAGGGCAAGGGTGAGGTTTGCATACATTCCAACCCAGATCCTATTTTCGAGTGGGACCTACCGGGTGTGTATGGTTTAGTTTTTATACAACATCAGAAAAGATCAAGTGTTTAGCACTGAAAAAGTAAGAAAACATAACTTGCTTTAACTGGTAAAAAAGAAATAAAATCATCAAGGCTTCTTGTGATTTGTCTCCCAGTCAACTATTTAATGTATGTTTATGGTTTCTATTTGTTTGATAGCAAAACCTACCTTTGAAGCACTATTTTATCATCAACTATATCTCCTAGTAAATCACTAGAATCATTTTTTGTATATCGAACTCGATATCAACAATGAACAATTTGATTTTTCCAAGAGTCTGTTGGATGAGAAACGTGACTTACGGGTGACAGGAAATAGGTCATTTGATATTCATTTTTCTTGATTTAAATCAGTGTTCTAAAAGGGTCGCCATAACAGCCGCTGTGGCTCAAGGCTCGTGTTTGACGCCACTTTAATCCCTATGGCACACCATGGCCAATGCACGGTTCTTGTAACGTGAAAATATTTGATTTTTCTTACCCTTTTAGCGTCTTACTTTTTAGTTCATTGTATATAACCTAATTTAGATTATTTAATACCATTGAATCATTAAGTAATAGTCGAAAATATATATGTATATATACAATTATGTATATGCCTTGAAAAATGGTGCGACCTCGCTCTAGCTCCTAAAGCTGGAGACTTGAACTCGCCGTCACACCACTCCTAATCTTGATTTAAATTGGTATTTTTCCCAAATATCATTTTAGTACATAAATTGTCGGAAGTCACTATTCAATTTAGATATAAAAAACAAAGATTGAAGATATAAAAGTGAAAGAAGCATATATGATCTATTATTGAAATCTAACCCAAATTTGACGTGTCTCTTCTTTTTGGTGCTTTTGCTTTCAACCGTATCTCCTTTCCTAGATGCCAGTGTATTTATTAACACAGTTATATTTCTTTATTCATAAAAAGATGGTTACTAATCTCTGTGCAGGTATTTTTTGTTCTATGATATTATATCATCAATATGTTATTATCTTTTTGTTTTCTTTAATTAATTTTGTTATTTTCAATGTTTTGGAAAGCACAAAGAGACAAAATAAAAGTCACAATGATCATGTGAATGGGAATCTTTTTTTTTTAACTGTGGGTATTTGGACCAACTTACACACATATCAACTAATAGTTTATTGTCATTCTTTTATTGTCATTCTTGAGTTCTCCATCTTGAGGTTCATTGCTTGATTGCTATTGGTTGTTCCACAGCATTGAGATTGAAAGCTCGTTTATCGATTTTGAAAGCCCCAAGGAGGCAGGACCACGGAAACGGTAAATTTCTTTCCCTTTCCTTTTCTTGCTAGTGTACGTTGACTTGAGGCCTCATTGATGGATCCAAGCTCTAGAGAACTATACTCGGACTTTCTTTTTGAAGGATATAATATTCATACAAATACTTATGCACACTTGGTGACGTTTGAACCTTTGACTTTCCAAGAAGCTAGGATCTACCACTAACCCTAGTACCACTGGACTAATGACCCTTTGGTACTTTACTCGTTCCCTGTTGATCCATTTGCATTATCCCGTTTAACACATGTGCAGTTGAATCTTGCAGGTTAAAGTCTGAACCTAACAATGTATTTGGGTCGAAAGCAGGCCGTGAGAAATTGCGTAGAGATAGGATGAATGAGAGGCATGTATTTAATTACTCCACTCATATTCCTCATACCCCAAGTTAGAATTTTGAATTTTGACATCAAATTTTGAAATCTTCTAAAAGGTTCTTGGAATTGGGTTCGATCCTGGAGCCTGGAAGAGCACCGAAAACAGACAAGACTGCTATCCTGAGCGATGCTATTCGAATGATAACACAGCTGCGAAGTGAATCGGAGAGGCTCAATGAGTCGAATGTTGATTTGCAGGAAAAAATCAAGGAACTAAAGGTGGACTCCTGATTTTGATGTTGTATAAGCATTTTACCCTAAGGGTGTGTCCGGTACGTAGGACAGGATGAGATGGGACATGACAGTATAAAAACTTATTGTTTCACTTCTGAAACGACTTTATAGTGGGACAAAAAATGCACCAAAATAGGTGGAAAAAAATGAGAGAGACGTGACAAGATTGATAAATTACGAAACTACTCATGTCAAATTAAAACCTTCTGGATTTCTTTCTCCTTCCTACCTCACTCTCGTTCATCAGTTCCATTCTTGTCCAGTTATGTCCGTGCACCAAACACACCCTAAGTTTCCAACACAACAGAGGTACATTGAGGTCAACATGACTAATACCCATGAAAATTTCAATATTTTCCATTTTGGGATGTCATATAACCTTAGTACATCTTTTTGTGGAAAATTTAACTTGTGATGCTTTGACGACTCATTATAATTTTCTGTATATGATCGGACAGGCTGAGAAGAATGAACTTCGTGATGAGAAACAGAGGCTAAAAGTCGAGAAAGAGAAGCTGGAACAACAAGTCAAATCCATGAATGGTCAACCTAGCTATCTGGCACACGCGACTGCAATGCGGGCTGCATTTGCTGCTCAAGAGCAAGCTGCTGGAAACAAGTTGATGCCATTTGTCGGTTACCCGAGTGTTGCCATGTGGCAATTCATGCCATCTTCTGTGGTCGACACATCCCAAGATCATGTTCTTCGACCTCCAGTTGCATAACTGCAGGGATCTTCAGGTTTGTTCTCCCTTCTTCCAACTTAACATTATGTATGATATAACCATATTATCTGTTATTATTCTTAAATATGTCACTGTGGGGATTGAAGAAGTGTGTGTTCTAATAATGCATACAAAATGGCGATCCATTCGCCTTTCCTGCTGTATTGATGTAATATAAACCTAAACTACTTTTCAGTTTGTAATGTGTGATGACATTTGGATTTGGCTAGTTAATGAAATCAAACCATAATTGTGAATATGAATGTCTATTAAAACAAATTGTTGTTGTTATTGTTTGTTGTCTATTTTTAATATCTCTTCCATATCGTTTTGTATACAACATGTTAAATGTTATTGAAATCGCTGGAGTCCACATATTCTCACATGGTATTAGAGTCGTGGTCTACCTCCGAGACACCGGACATCTGTGCCCGGGACTCGACAGGCTGGGAGATCTGTGTTTGTCTAGCGTCAGTTAAAGGGTGTGTGTTTGAGTCTACATCGGCTAGACTTGGACCTTTCTACTTTAAGATATGTTGGAACTCCCTTCTCTCCTCAAGGGCTCGTTTGGAAAGTAATCTGAGGGGGTTTCATATATTCTTACATGGTATTAGAACCAAAGTCTACCTCTGGGACACCGGACAACTGTGTCTGGGACCCAACACTCTGGGACATCTAAGCCCGTAAGGATGGTCCCGGTAATTTTTTAGAGCAGCTGCACCCTTATGGTGGATCAAGGGCCCACAAAGTCACGGTTTGACTCAGGAAAAGTCAATTGTGTTGATTTGGGGAATAAAATACATTTTTTCAAATGGAATCGACGTTGACCTTTATAAATATATATATGTTGTCTTGAAAATGAGATAAAAAGCAGCGACTTTTAAGATGAATTGGTAAGCATAAGGAAAATAAATCATGAAGAAAGTAATAAAATGGGAGAAAGGTTGACAAAAACCTGCCCTTCGTGGTGGTAGATATGTTATGTCTATTACTATACTTTAGGTTGTGAATTTGATTTTTGTAAGGCTGAGTTAGGGGGCTGCATGTTTATCTTTTAATAGTTCCATTAAGAGTTAGCCTTTGAATCGCTAAGAGGTGAATCTTGTTTGGCAAAAAAAAGTCCGCCTCTTAATGGTTCTAAAACCTCTGAATGATTTTGTATCTTGGGTCTTCCTTAACCATTCAACACCCTAATTCCATTGTAAACAATTACCGAAAAATTATATTTCATTTTGCACTATATCATGAGAGCCTCTTAATCATTTTGACCACTTAATCATTTTGCACCAAACCATTCAACAACTGTCAAACATCCCCTTAATGCCTCTTCACACAACCTCTTGAAGGTCAAACTTTAATCCAACCATCTAGATCATCTCACCGGTGTTTTATTTTTGTTATAATTTTGGTTTTAAAATGTTCCAAAGCACTTCTTAAAATCAAGCAGGTGCACTTTTAGGCGCCTGATTTTTTTTTCATTTGCAATAATTGAGTGAGCGGTAGCACGAGACCCTCCTTGGCCCTTAGTAGGTCCGCCTCTGGTGCCTGAGACTCTACACTCTGGGACATCTGTGCATGTCTAGCCTCCGTTAGAGGATGCGTGTTGGAGTTTCACTCGGATAGAATTGCACCTTTCTACTAAATATATGTTGGAACTCCTATTCTCTCCCGAAGGGTTCTTTTTGAAGAGTAATCTGATGGGGTTCCACATATTCTCACATAAATATTATTTCGTCAGTGGTGTAATGAAAATAAGATTTTAGGGAATGAAAAATACATGATTATATTACAAGTCGTAAATCAAACAATGCCAGCTAGAGCTAGTGTCACAAAAACCATAGAATGAACACAAACAAACATCCTCAAAATCATTTTCTAGGAATTCTTAGAGGGACAGTAGCATCATCACAAGGAACCCAAACCCAAGTATAGAACCAGCAGCCATCTTTAGTGTTATAGCGGATGAGGGAGGGTCTACAGTCTCACCAGTGACTGGGGGTGGTGGCGAGTTACCGGTAGGACCATCTGTTGGCGGAGATGGGGCTGAAGGAGTGGTGCCTTGTGGCGGTGCAGGTGATGATGCTGCTGCTGCATCAATCTGAACCTTCATTCCTTGGCTGCAATGGTTACTTATGCCACAGATAAAATATCGGCTTCCTGCAGTGGTGAGTGCGATTCTAGTTGGGCTACTTCTACTGGTTGAAATAGGACTTCCGGTTGCACAAGAATTATAATCCGACTCAGAAACCTCAAGCACGTCATGAGTAGATGAATACTGGAAAACTGCAACGAATAAAGAGTAACATTAAGAGAGGCGGGAGCAGGTGGTGGCAGGCGGCTGCTGCGTTTATGCAAAGACTAAGGGGCTGTTTGGTTGGTTTTCCATCAAGTCTGGTATGGCTAAAGTTGTTTGTGTCGATTAATCTGTCTGTATAGATAGACAAAGTTTTTGGTTGGGATAGTTTTTTGATAGATGGAATTAGCATTTTTCTAATTGGGAAGGGCATTCAGAAATTTTTTTGGCTTTCTGCATAAAATTTACCCCCGAGAAACTTACCAAGTAAGTCCATTTTTATATCATTAAGCCACTTCCAAACTGTCATGTATAACTGAGCGAATAAGCCGTGAGTCTCGTTAAGCTCATTAAGCTGCTAATAAACAGACCCTAAAGAGTGTTATAAACATAAATTCATGTGTATTATAAAACTGCAACAATTCAAGATTGCTGGTCGGGCAGGCGGTGGCAGGCGGCAGCCACCAACCAGTATGTGTTTATGCAAGACTAAAGAGTGTTATAGACGTAAATTCATGTGTACTGGAAAACTGCAACAATTGAGGAGTGCTGTTAAAAGGGGTGGCAGCAGGTGGTACGTGTTTATGCAAGACTAGGGGTTGTTTGGCAATTGCTGAATGGTTGGGTGCAGAATGATTAAGTGATCAGAATGATTAAAGAGGCTCTCATGATATAGTGCAAAATGAAATATAATTGTTTGGTAATTGTGTATAATAAAATTAGGGCTCTTAATGGTTAAGGGAGATCCATGATACAAAATCATTCAGAGGGTTTTGGAACTATTAAGAGACAGACTTTTTTTCTTGCCAAACAAGATTCACCTCTTAACGATTAAGAGGTTGCCTCTTAATGGAACTATTAAGTGTTATAGACATAAATTCATGTGTACTGGAAAACTACAACGACTAAAGAGCACTGTTAAGAGGATCGGCAGAAGGTGGCGGCAGGCGGCAGCCACCAGCAACGAGTGTTATAAACATAAACTCCTTACCTATATTGTCTCCTACTGAAAATGTTTGGGATGTAGCCCACGACTGCAGATCAGTCGACTGGTCCCACCCTCCGTTTGGAGCTCCGACAGTGTAATCCACTGCCGCCACCAAATCCAGTAGCATCGCGGTAGCGACGAGCCCCATTAGTGTCCTCATGATCGCCACCTTAGCCATTGCCTTTTTCTTGAAAAGTTGATTGAAATTACAGTTGGTTTTCAAGAAAGTAGTTGGTTATGGGACTTATTTATAGAAAGATAGGAGGGAGAAGAGCGAAACCGACCCGAATTGTTTATTCGTGCAGATTTCTTTGAAGCTTTCGTTTTTTTGCATTATTCAACTGGTGTTAGTTACAGGCTGAGATGATGGTTGGTGTTGATTTAGTAGATGAAAGATGAAGTAGTTGACTTTTGGTGCTATATATGAAATGTTTGTTGACTTGGCTGGTGTGGAAACTTCTCTAGTTGACTATTTCTGGTCAAATAAATGTATGTATTAGGTAACGATCGAATAGTTTAGTTGGTATTAAGGTTTGAAACAAATAGCCGGCTTGACCGTAAAAAAATCCACGTAAAGAGTGACGAATGTCGTTCAGGTTGAGCAGTTGATACAAATATAGTTGATCCAGTGAATCGTATATGAAGTAAGGATTGTTAAAAGAACGGGATGGTGAAAACTAGTTGGACCAAACCAAACTGGGTCGTTTTTGGCGGTCTGGTCCAATTTGTAGTTTAAATTGGTGGTTGAAACGAATGCACTGGTTAAACTTTGGATCTTCCTCTTTACTTTCTGGGTATTTGATAATGAAGTTTCTGAGGTTAAACTAGACTGCATTTTTGTGATTCGGTTTGACTAGTTTGGTCATTTCATGTCCAACCATACGGCTTGAATATGTTTTAAAACCGTCACTTGTGGTCTGATTTCTTAAAATGAGGTTAATTCTCCCAGAAATGATCATGAACATCCTTATTAAGGTAGGTTATATGCAGACCTTAACTCTGTCATGAAAGAAAAGAGCACAAACATTAAGACCAATTTTAAGGTAAAAATTATATTTACTTTGTTTTTAAATTAACAAAATGACAATTTACCCATAGTAAGAAACTTTCTCCCCTTATAAATGTGAGAAATTAAACATTTATTTTGGGATAAACTAAAATAATAATGTAGACACTTATTTTGGAACCAGCTGATGAGTATTTTATTATCTTATGGGTCTTATGCGATGGAAGGAGTACTTTTTTTTAATCTTATGGGTCTTATTTACTTGGAACCATTAAGACCGCGTTTGTATTCATATTTATAATGAATAATTGAAGTGATTTTTTAATTAATTTGGATATCCAACCCGCCATGCGAGCTGACTAATCTCAGGGCAAACACCTGATTTGCAGATTGTTCGGAGTCATCGTATTTGAACCTCCGTGGCCACAAGGGGATTTTTATTTCTCCTTTGATTTGAACCTGCGACCTCCTGGTACTTTTGATCTTTGGAGTCAAGCTCAAACCAATCATGCACCACCCTTGTGGTTTGAAGTGAATTTTTTAAAACGTTCATGATGAATGTTCCTGGATATATGACACACTATTGGTGGTTGTGGGTTTGCAACGGAAATGCGGTTATTAACCGAATCTGTCATTTTCGGTATATAATCTTAAATAAGACTTTTAAGTACATTTGAACGAGAATGAAATCATTTTTCTATTAATACTTATGAGAAGGTCATCGGTGTGACTAAAATCTCATTTAAGGTTATATACCTAAAAATCCCATTGAAAAATGGTTTCATAATAATGCGAATATCATGGATTTAATTAAAATATCATTTTAGGTTATATGCTTAAATATCTCACTTAAATGAGAATTTCATTAAAATCATAACCTTTTGACAAATTTAGTGACATTCTGAACCTGTCTGAAGTTTCAGAACGTCACTTTTATATACAAGAATAACCTCTTGACAAATTTAGTGGCATCCTTGTATATACAAGTGACGTTATGAAATGACCTCATGAACTAAAAGAAATTCATGAGGTGATTTAACCCCAGGACCCGTGTTTTTAAAATAAAGTGTTCTATTATTTATTTTATATAACACTATTTGAAAAAAATGTGTACTATAAATAAATGAGTTTACATGACACTTCTCAAAATTGTTCAATAGAATAAGTAATACGACACTATATTTATAAAATCTTCCAAATTTTTTGTTGCAACTTTTAAAAGTGTTCTATAAACCTGTTGTAACACTTTTAGATATGACACTTTATAATTTGGTTCTATAAATTAAGTCTTATGAAATATTCATTCGTCAATTTTATGTAACGACTAATCTGCCAACCCACTGACTAACACATCCGTTAACTCCGTTAAATCAAGGGCCCATTTTAGTCTTTTATCTATTCTTTTGTTTCTTTTTTGTAAAAAAGTAAAAACAATATTTTTTATGCGCACATATATATATATATATATATATATATATATATATATTAGGGTTGTTTGCGGTTTAATTTGGACGGTTTAACTCCTCAGACCACAAACGAAACCATAATGACAGTTTATAAAATTTTCAAACCGAATGGTTTGACATTAAGTGTCCAGATCGGTCAAACCAGATCACGAAAAGACGGTCTGCTCTGACCGGTTTAGGCCAGTTTGGCCTTTAATGGACTTGAACAGATTGAGATTGAAATCCAAAAACTTGAAGCAAAGAGTTGAATCACTTGGTTGATATCTTGATTATATGCACCGGAATCAAACCATAGATTAGGAAAGATTGATAGAGTTCTTGAGAGATTTCAAAATTTGAAAACTGTCAATATCAAATGTGTTGATATGTTTACCGCTTTAGTGATTTTTAGACGCTGATTCATTTGGATTTAATTATGTCAGATATTAGGTTTTATGTTTGGCTTTAATATTAAAAAAAAAACAAATGAATAGGAAAAAAGTAAAATAGTTATTGGTTTAATAAAATTAACTGAGTGGTTACTAAAGATATCATAATTACTTTAATAAAAAACCCATCAAACCAATTTTTGAATTACTAGAAGAGTATTTGTGTAATGCAACGAGGTAAATATCGATTTTAATGTTTTATTTTATTATTTGTCTTTGTTGATGTTATAATATGATTTTATGTATTTTTAAGAAAGCAATAATGATTTTATTTTTGAATAAAATATAAATGTGAATATATCATAAAAATTTGAAAAAAAATATGTCAATGCTAATATAAAATCAACTATTTAAAAGTTCTTATTTTTTATGTAATTTCTTTAATTTTTTTTATTATAATTTAATTTAAGTTTATTAACGAAATAATTTATTTTTATTTAATAATATAACATTTTATAAATATAATAATTAATTATTCTGTTATAACTCAATGATTATTCTAATTATATTTTAGATTTTTTATATTTAAAATGAAAAGTTTATCATGTATTTGATTATGTTTATCTGTAGTTAGTTACACGAATTCAGATTTGAAGCTTTAATAAGTTGTATTTATATATAATCTACTTGCAATCTTGAGTTTTAAATAATATGCATTAATAAATAGTAATTTACGTATAAAAAATAGTTTTAATTTTTTTTTTTAAATATTTTATAATATAGTATAGATATATTAAATAAGGGAGTTGTTGTATTGAAGTGCGGAAAAGCCGAACTTTAATGGCTTTTGCGACACGTATTAATTGACAAAAAGAAGTGGGCACCGTTGAGGCGTTGACCAGTCAAAAACCCAATAATTAATTTATTTATTTTGAAAATTACGTTAAATGAAAACATGTTTGTTTTTCAATTGAAATATTTTATCTTAATAAATATTATTTAATTCTTTTTCAATTTATGAAAAATAATATTTAAATTTCATTAATTTAAAGAGCCAAAATAGAACCGAATTTTTGAATTATATTTATTTAAAATTAACATTCTAATTCATGATTTTTTTTAATAATAAAAATGAAATTAAAATTATTTAGAGCAAAAATACAAAATCTTAAAAAAAAATTACATTTAATTCTAACTTTTTTTTTCATTTTAAAAATTACAACATTAATTATATATTAAAAATATTTCATAAATTCAATAAATATTTAGTTTTCATTTTTAAATATTTAATTTTAACATTTTTATTGATGAAATATAATAAAAAAATATTTTTTTAAGGAGTTTCCTAAAAATTTAAAGAATTTCATATCTTTATTTTGAAAGAAATATTTAAAAAATATTAAAATTTTCTATTTTGTATGTTTTAAAAAATTTGTTATGGTTGCTTATATGTCCGAAATCCCTCTCATTTTGTCAATAAGAGTGTGTTTATTACATTGGACATGACAGAACAGAATAAGATAGAGATCTTTTTCTTATGTTTGACATGACTTTTATGTGGAACAGACGGAAACAACTGTTCCACCCCTACCCCATGGAACAAGGTAGAACAGACTTATATTTTACCAATATAATCTTAAAATAAAACTTAATTCTCTTTTAAAACATCAAACGGTCTCATTTTTACATTTTATTTATTATTTAAATTTTATTTTATTGTAATTTATGTTTCTTAAACTTTCATTTTATTATTTTCAAAATATTATTTTTATACGGTTTCTATATCTTTTTCTTTGATGTCATTTTAATTGTTTTGATGAAAACTTTCTAATGATATATTTTGTTATAAAAGATAATTATTAGCAAACGTTGAACAGTTTTTCTATCTTGTCATGTTCTGTTCTGTCATGTCCTATCATGTTTGGACATCAAACACACCCCAACGAATATGCCCAAGCAGATAGAATCAAATACAATATCAATGTGATTTCCAGCTTTTGGTCTAGGAAGCGTAATTGTTAGAGCACGGAGGAATGAACAGTATTGATTTTAACAAGAACAGTCGGACAGATTACTACAGTGAGTCTAGTGACTACTAGAGTAGAGTTAAGTCAAAAGGTATGGTATAACTGCCACTTTTATAATATTATTGAATAGCATGGTTTGGGGCTAAGATAACTCAATCATATACTTATATTATTATTACTAGAAGGTTACTCGCGCAATACCGCGGGATACATCTGCATTTTAATGTTTCGTTTTAATTTTCATCTATGTTGATCTAATACGGTTTATGTAGTTTTGAGAAAGATAATGTTTTTACTGTTGAATAAAAATAAATTTGAAGGCATCATAAAAATTTGAAAAAGTATATCGATATTAATATCAAATAAACTATTTAAAAGTTTTTGCTTTTTTGTACAATTATTAATTCAATTTTTTATTATACTTTAATTTAAGTCAAAATGAAGTAATTTATTTTTGGCATAATAATAAATTTTTTATAAAGATAATGATTATCATAATTATATTTTAGATTTTTTATATTTAAAATGAGAAATTTATCTTCTATTTACTTATGTTTATCAACAGTTAGTTATACGAATTAAAAAATTGAGCTTTAATAAGTTGTATTTTCACTTAATTTACTTGTAATCTTAAATTTTAAGTAATATCCATTAATACACAGTACTTCGTACATAAAGAATGGTTTTTAGGAGTTTTTGTCAAATGCTTCATAATATAATATAGATTATTATTTGTATTTCATTTGTCTCTATCACTAGTAAATTTGGTAATCAAGTTTTTTTAATACCGTATACCAATCAATTATAATTGATATATAAAATTTTATAACTGAGATTAAAAAATTCATTTAATTAATTAAATGAATTTTTTTGGCATCTAATGCACATGAAAGTTTCTTGTAAAAATAATCGGTGCAATGAACTTTTGACACAAATAAGCAAAGTGGTTGTACAATTTCCCATTAACAAACCACTTTTGTGCATTATTGACTTGTACGTTTCACTCCACCCTTTATTTATTTATTTTATTTTATTTATTATATTTCTCCATCCATTTCAACAAAATCCCACCGTCGCCGGAAAATCGACAACCACCACCGGAAAATGTCGATTTTTCGAATCGTACCATCGAATATCAAAGACATTTGCTTAATCATGTCAAGTTTATCCATCTTCTATCTCCTCTCTCATCCTCTCACCGCCCCAATCCCCACCGCCCCCACCCTCATCTCCGTCGTTGCGCGGCCTCCCACCACAATCCGCCACATCCTCTTTTCCATCGCATCCTCCCATAAATCATATAACAATCGAAAGCCCTACCTCCGTCTCTGGTACAAACCTAATTTCACGAACGCAATCGTCTTCCTAGACCGTCCGGTAACCGATTCTGACGCCGGTGGCGGTTCCGATCTCCCTCCGATAATTATCTCCGGCGACACGTCGCGGTTTCCCTACACCTTCCCCCATGGACTCCGATCGGCTATTCGCGTGGCTCGGATCGTAAAAGAAGCGGTGGAATCGGACGAATCGGATGATATACGGTGGTACGTTTTCGGCGACGACGATACGGTGTTTTTCACGGAGAATCTGGTGAAGGTTCTGGCGGAATACGATCATGACCGATGGTTCTACATCGGAAGCGTATCGGAAAGTTACGAGCAGAATTTACGGCATTCGTTTAATATGGCGTTCGGCGGTGGTGGATTCGTGATCAGCCGATCATTGGCTAGGGTTTTGGCAAGGGTTTTGGATTCTTGTTTGATGAGATATCCTCATGTGTACGGAAGTGATTCCAGAGTGTTCTCTTGCTTGGTGGAGCTTGGTGTTGAATTAACCCACCATCCTGGGTTTCATCAGGTAAAAAAAATCTTTACTTTGTTTTAGGGGGTATTTGGATTGTTTATAAAAACAATTTATTGACTTATTGCGGTATGACACCGGTAATAAGCACTTTTGAGTATTTTAATAAATAGCTTATACCAGTAATAAGGAGTTTCTGAAGAAGTAAAACCATTATAACTTATAATAAGTTGATAAAAACTTTTATAGAAAAACACAAGTTTTTTCAAATAAGCAATCCCAAACACCCCTTTACTTCGAAATAAATGTTAAAAGATAATGAAAATGACAATACAGTTTTAGAAATATGTAATTATTACAGTTTTTAAATTAACAAAATGACAATTTTACCCAATGTGAGAAATTAAGCACTTATTTTGAGATAAACTAAATAATAATATAGACATTATCTTATGGGTCTTATTTACCTGGAACCATTAAGACCGTGTTTGTATCCATATTCATCATGAATAATCGAAGTGAATTTTGTAAAACGTTCATGATGAATGTTCCTGGATACATGACGTACTATTGGTGGTTGAGGGTTTGCAACGGAAATGCGTTTCTTTTAACCGTCGGACCCGTCAAAATCTTTCACGGGATCATGAAATATAGAAAACGTGCCAGAATTTTATTACTGGGAAGTAATACTGATGTAGGTCGTTGAAGGCTATTGAGTTAGTTTTTTTTGAACGGTCATGCTCTTAATTGAAAAGTCATTTGTGTCTTTTTGTTTTATTGACATGATAGTAGGTTTTGGCATTTTGGATGTCCGGCTAATGATCGGAACTAGAAAGGAATGGCCTTTTAAGTAACCACGATCCTTTTAGGTCTTGTTCGTTTTCGATCGTTTGGCATTTTGTGGGTCCCGACAACGAGGTTTTAGAAGACTTGTTAGATGTGATTTTCGATCGTGTCAAGAATCTTATTCGTCGTGATCATTTGACTTTTTGCGGGTCCTAGAGTTAAGGAATGTCGATTGTTGGATGTGATTTGGGTTCAAGTTTATGTATTCGATCTTTAGTTATATTTCTATAATATTGATTTTTGATTCAATTGAAAAGCATGGTTTTGTGAGTGAGATGTATGCAGATATGCCATTCACCTAAAAGGGTAAAATGGTTATATCCCTGATCTTCAACGACTTGTAAGATAAAAGGGTATATTGGTCATTTAACTAATCGCCAAACATTCAATCTTCAATTATGTGTGTGATGGGAAACATGAAGTAGATTTTTTTTTTCTTTTTCTGATTAACCTGAATATCCAACCTGCTATGCGAGCCGACTAATCTCAAAGGCGACCATCTGCTTTGCAGATAGTCCGGAGTCACCGCATTTGAACCTCCATGGCCACAAGGGGATTTTTATTTCTCCTTGGATTTGAACTTGGGACCTCCTGGTACTTTTGACTTTTGGAGTCAAGCTCAAACCAATCAGACACCACCTTTGTGGTTCATGGAGTAGCTTTTTGGTTTTCAAGCATATGATCTTTTAGGTCTTGTTTGTATAAGATTTATATTTTGTGGGTCCCTAACTCCCTATTCACAATAAACGCGTTGGGTCCCATTCACAAAAAATGAATATGGGACCCACACGTCCAGATCATATATCCTACCTTTGTGTCGGATATAGTGTATTTGTTTGGTTTGTTTCTTTTAGATTTTGTTGACTTTCCATGATTGACTTTTTTCGAGTTTTATAATTGACTCGAGTTTCTTGAACGGCATGCCAGGTCGACGTTCGAGGCGACATGTCCGGGATTCTTTCGGCACATCCGTTGCCACCATTGCTATCGCTTCATCACTTGGACCTCGTAGATCCAATCTTTCCTGGTTTGACCAGGCTCGAGGCGGTCAAACACCTTTTTGAAGCTGCAGAACATGATCCCGCCCGGATCCTTCAGCAGACCGTCTGCTACGATTCTTCCAACTCGATCACGGTGTCGGTTTCGTGGGGTTACGTGGTTCAGGTGTTTGAAGGCAATCAATTCCTTCCGGATCTAATTCAAGTACAAAAGACGTTCGGTTCGTGGAGGAGGAAAGAAAACCTTTTATCAAGCCTTCATATGTTCAATATGCGGGATTACCATAAAGATCTGTGTAAAGCCCCGGATACGTTCTTCTTGGAAGGCCTCGATCCTGATACGGACAGGTTTCACACTTCCTATAAAAGGAATACGGCGTCGAATTGCTCGAGAAGTAACGTGATACGGGATTTAATGAATATAAGAGTATTCTCGAGAAGGCTTGATGCGGATACTGAACAAGTAATGCATATGTTTTTGTTACGATTTTTTTATATTTTTCGCTCTATATGACCTATGAAAATTACAGTTGTCATCAGGGTTATCGGTAGATCCTGACCTTCATAACGTTCAAGGATTCACCAAACGTGAGGTTTGTGAGTGAGTTTTGCTGTAAATAAATATTTACATCGTCGTGCAGATGGACGCACCTCGTCGTCAATGCTGCGATATCTTGCCGCCGTATAATGAAACCATGGTTATTTCTTTGCGGCGTTGTGAAACCGATGAATTGATTGCGATGCACGTGTAGGGTTCGTGACTTGATGATAAGGAAGCTTCTTGAGCCGTGTCGCTTACTTCAAAACATGAGGTAATTTATTGTAACATATCGGGCCTCTAGAGTGTAGAACAGTTGGTTTCGAGGTGGTATATATTAAAAAAAATGTGTGTGTGAACGTGTGTGCATATACGTAAATAATACATATTATTTTGAAAAAAGTATATTATATATTAAAATAAACTTAAAAGTATAGTAATTTAATAAACTCAAAATATAAAAAATTAATATTTTTATTTTTTAGACTTAATTACGGATTTGGTCCATATGGTTTGTGTGGGCTTTACGAAATTGGTCCCTCGAATAAAGACAAAAAAAGGAAAAGAACGAAAATGCTCTCAAGGTTAACGGAGGAACTGGATGGGCGTTGGAGGGAGGGACCAATTCGTTACAAAACAACATACGACGAATCCTAATTTGTAATAAATGAAGTTTAAGGACCATTTTTATAAAAACCACCAAACCACAGGGACCAAATCCAGAATTTACTCTAAATTTTATTTATTGTATTAAATTTTCACGTTACTATCTTCAAAATATTATTTTTATACAATATATATATATATATATATATATATATATATAT